AGATAAACAAAAGCAATTGAATGAGGAAAGGTTTCTCTGTAGAATTTCACATCCTGTTGCCTGAATTGATCTGATATATTAGAAAGACGTGCCAACTGGTATCCAGGCCTCCCTTAAAATCTTCATGAGTAGTGTAAGAAGCAGACAGTTACCATGGTGTTGAATCCACAAAGCCTTCATTGTGTAGAGATAACCAATATACTTGGCAGAGGCCCTAGGCTAGAAGCTGATTTAATCCTAATTTATTGAGAAGGTGTTTTCTGATTATCATTTTTTAAAAGTTCCACTGTGAGCTGAGCCCCAGTTCTGTGTCTAAAGCATTTTTATTTTGTCAAATGAATCCTTCACTAAATCAAACTCTTTGATAATGTTGAGTAATGCCTTCTTGTCTCTGTTATTTATAGAATTAATGCTATGTCTGGTGCATAGTAAGCACTTAGTAGATAACTCATGCTAATGAGAGAGAATAATACAGTAGGGTAGAAGATGATTGACAATGAACTGGGTCTTAAACTCCAGCGTATAATGACAGGGTCAAGGAGGATGGACCTGCAAAGAAAAAAAAAATCACTGATAGTCATAGAAATAGAAGGCAAATTAGAATGGCATCATGAAGTCAAAGGAAGGAAAATTTCAAAAAGAATAGTATGGTCAACAGTGTTAAGTATTGTTAGATAGCAAGAAAGTAAAACTTTCCATTAACTTCAGCAACATCATTTTATCAAGCAGCATTTTTATTACGAAACTATACTGAATGTATTAGAGAGTGAACAAGAAGTGGAAAATATATCCAGTAAACTGGACAACTCTTTCAAAAAGTTTGCCTTTGTAGAAGATAAGAGAATGAGTAGAGGGGAACATGGGGGATGGGGGAGGGTTGTTTTTAAAAATATGAGTCAATAATGTATGTTTAAATTTCCTATGAGGAATGCACATGAGAGGGTGGGTTTGAATTTATAATAGATAATAGAACACTAATAGACTGAGATGCCTGAGATGAAGTGAGAGATTAAAGTCCCAAAGGCAGGTAGTGGGACTGACTTTAGGTAAAAGAAGAAAAACTCACTCAAATATAAGAGAAGGGAAAAAAGGTGACTGTACATGCAGGTATGATAGAATGTTGGACGTAGGAAATGGAACAAAGTCTTGTCTGATATTTGTACTTTTCTCTGTAAGATAGATAACAAGGTCATCTGCTGAGAGAGCTACAGAAAGAGGGTGGGTCAGATCTTTGAAAGAAAGTTTTAAATACTTCCTATGGAGAGTCAGAGCTCAAGCTGAAAAATAAGTATGGCAGGGTGCTGGGTTCATTCAAGGTTGTTGATCATTGCCTTAGTTTGGGTTCCCCCAAGAGTAGATCTGGAGACAAGGATTTAGGTGCAAATAGTTTATTTGGAAAGTAACCTCAGGAAACAAGATAGGGAAGTGAGCTAAGAAAAAGAATGCAGCTAATGAAGGATGATACAAGAACAAGAGAGAGAGATAGGTTTACAGCATTCAACAGGAATCTATTTTTTAATAAATATTATGAATGAAGAAATAGGAATGCAACAATTAAACTTGTGCATGAGACGATTATAGAAATGATAACAACCATAAACAATAAAGTAAAAATCCATAAATACTTATAATGCACACACAAATGAAAGAAAGTATTGACTTTCAATGACATGGGATTTGGAAGAATTCAGATTCCTTTTCCCTCAATTTCTAGTTGGGTAGCCTTGGAAATGACAGCTCGATAAATAATTAATTCTATGAACCAGGGCCTCTTTGAGGCCAAGGATGTAATGGTGAACTAGACGGATTAAATTCCTGACCCATGGTACTAAGAGTCAGAGGACAATTAACTTAATTTCCCTGAACCTACATCCCCTTCTATGGGCAGTGAGATCTGTAATACCTAACCATAGGATTTTGTAAAAATATAAAATGTGAATATGTTTTTGTTAGGATTTTGTGTTCAGTGAAGTTCTACATTAGTTTAATTTTAAAATAATAACTTGTAACTAACCTAAAAAATTCTGAGGGGTTTATACAATGCAAGTCCTGAAATTTCAGTTTAAGAAATCAGTTTGTAAGTTTGTGATAGTTAATAAGTTGTGGTAGAGATGGCTTAATGATAGTTTCTGCAAAATAATCCTAGAAGCTTTAACTCAACTGAATTTCAATGTTAGTTGAAAGTCTAATATTGAAGTGAAAACACTGATTAAAAATTTAGGCCGGGCGCGGTGGCTCACACCTGTAATCCTAGCTCTCTGGGAGGCCGAGGCGGGTGGATTGCTCGAGGTCGGGAGTTCGAAACCAGCCTGAGCAAGAGCGAGACCCCGTCTCTACTATAAATAGAAAGAAACTAATTGGCCAACTAATATATATAGAAAAAATTAGCCGGGCATGGTGGCTCATGCCTGTAGTCCCAGCTACTTGGGAGGCTGAGACAGAAGGATCGCTTGAGCCCAGGAGTTTGAGGTTGCTGTGAGCTAGGCTGACGCCACGGCACTCACTCTAGCCTAGGCAACAAAGTGAGACTCTGTCTCAAAAAAAAAAAAAAAAAAAATTTAGCTGTATCAATTAAAGTACTGTAAAACAAGAAGATAATTATTTATTCTTCCCTGTTATACTATATACCACAGATATATTCCCTTTAGGTGTCAAATTTTAAGGAAACTAAGATTTTAACAAACCATGGAATACCCACTGAAGTAGCTAGGAGTAGGATAGGCTAATGATCAAGTATTTTCTAGTGGATTCAAAGAGCTTATTTTAAATATTTGAGGGTTGTAATGAAAAGATATAGTATGGCGATTAAAGTGCTTTTATTTAGTTTCTTAAATCTTGTATTTTTATTCTATTCTACAAATTTCTCATGAAAATTAAGTAAGTCATTTTTTTTCTGGGGACATTCGTTTGGTTTGCTTTGCTTTGTTTAATATACTGTTAGATTAGAGGAGCTCTAAATTCCCTTTAATAGATGTTTCATTTATTTATTTATTTATTTATTTTTATTTTTATTTTTTTTGAGACAGAGTCTCACTTTGTTGCCCAGGCTAGAGTGAGTGCCATGGCGTCAGCCTAGCTCACAGCAACCTCAAACTCCTGGGCTCAAGCAATCCTTCTGCCTCAGCCTCCCGAGTAGCTGGAACTACAGGCATGCGCCACAATGCCAACTAATTTTTTCTATATATATTAGTTGGCCAACTAATTTCTTTCTATTTATAGTAGAGACAGGTCTCACTCTTGCTGAGGCTGGTTTTGAACTCCTGACCTCGAGCGATCCACCCGCCTCGGCCTCCCAGAGTGCTAGGATTACAGGCGTGAGCCACGGTGCCCGGCCAATGTTTTATTGATATTGATATAATCTAGGAATTCTTTCTCAAGAAAAATTTACACACATTCGGAATTGCCCCTGAAATTTCAAATGGTTCTTCGATAGTCTCCTACCCTATGACTCAGCCATGACTCCTCTAAAATCTGTTTTTTTTAAGTTTTAAAAAATTTGTTTCAATATTTGTAATTGAAAATTTTAAATGTTATATATCTGTCATATAAACCTGATATTTTGATATATGTATACATTGTGGATGGTTAAACCAAGCTAATTAATATATCCATTACCTAACACACTTACCAGTTTTTTGTGGTGAGAACATTTAAAACCTACTCTCTTAGCTAGCAATTTTCTACCATACAGTGCAGTGTTATTAATTGCATCACCATACTGTATAATAGAGCTGTTGAACTTATTTCTCCTAACTGAAATTTTGTATTCATTGGTAAATATCTCCCCAAACATTCCCCATCCCCACCAGCTCCTGGCAACCAACATTCTCTTCCGTTTCTATTAATTCAACTTTTTAAAATTCCACATTCCAAGTAAGATCACACAGTATTTATTGTTCTGTGCTTGGCTTATATCAATGAGCATAATGTCCTCCAGGTTCATTAATGTTGTCACAAATAACCAACTCTCCTTTTTTAAGGCTTAATAGTATTACATTGTGTATATAAACCACATTTTTAATTCGTTCATTTGTTGATAGACACTTATGTTGACTCCATATTTTGGTTATTCTAGACCTGAGTCAGCTATTTAGAGTGAACGATTTATTTCCAGTAGCTCCAAAGGTCTCTGTAAATATAAATATTTATTATATACTTATATAATGCTTGAAAATAACATGGTAGGTGATCATATATTTATTACAAGATAACAACCCCCACCCCAAAAAAACTTGATGGTTTAAAACAGTTGTTATTCATCATTTCTCACAATTCTGCAATGTGGGCATTTCTTTGGCTTTACGTGGTATCAGCTGGAGCACTTATTTGGCTGTTTTCAGCTGGAGTTGTGATAGGTCACAAGGTGATGAAAGCTTTATTCACATGCCTGATGCCTCATGTTCCTCTGTGTATCTTCCCTGCCTGGATAGACCAAGCTCCCTTAAAGCATAGTTACCTCAAGGGGTCAGAATCCTTTTATAGTAGTTGTTTTCTCACAATGGCAAGCCCTTACTCTTACTAATATCCATAGTAAGAGTCATAGTAAGTCACATGACCAAACCCAGAGTCAATATGTTTAGAGACTACAGGAGGACATGAATATCAGACATGTAATTCAATGGGGACCACCAAAAAGAATTTTCAGTTTCTTGTAAATACTTTCTTTTCAAAAAGGAAGTATCAGCTTGGGAAGTAATTTTTCAAACAGTATAAACATTCAAGCAGAGGCTGGTTAATAGCTTATAGGAAACACTATAGAGGTGATTGCTACATTGAGGTGAATAAAATGACCTCCATGATTTTATGAGACTCTAGATCAAAGCTGACTCCAAATTTGAGTCTACCTGATGGGTGAAATAGTGGTGCTATTAATAATAATAGAAGCATCAGGTAGGAGTCTCAGATAGGGAAATGAATGATAAATGTGGATAAATTGCTTTTTTTCGTATAGAAGAAAGAGATAATCAAGAAATAATGACCTTTATTCTTTGCTGTCTTAGGTTGGATGTTGATATAACTGAACTTCACAGTTGGATTACTCGCTCAGAAGCTGTGTTGCAGAGTCCTGAATTTGCAATCTATCGAAAGGAAGGCAACTTCTCAGACCTTAAAGAAAAAGTTAATGTAGGTTCTGCATTAATTTTTATACATGTTCCTATTTTGTGCTGCTTGTAAACTCTGAGCTTTGTGATTTCTGATTCTATTGGAGTTGATAGGATTAAAGCAATATGATATAAAGTTGTTTAATACATCTTTAAAATACATTTTAGATAAGCAAAATAAAAGTTTAACCTAGAAAATTCTTTCCAGATTCAGCTGTGGATGATCAGAAATGCTTTTCATATATCTTTTTTTAAGTTTTCTATTATTTAAGTGTATATTAATAATTTTATAACATGAACTTCTATTGACTTCCCTTCATATATTGTTCTGTTACTTCAAGACTGGGCTTTAGCAAGCTTGCAAACCAGAGTAGAGTAGAGTAAAATAGAGTATAATAGAATAGACTAGTAGAATAGACTCATATATACTATGCTTAGGCTCCTGCTTATGTTCTCACTATTATTAAAAAGTCATTCTTTATAGTTATTAATATCTGTCATAAATTATAAGATTTAGATTTACCAGATACTCATGTATTACTTTAAATAAAAAATGTCCAACCTCTCTCAGTATTTACTTATGATAACAGATGGCTTGCTGTTTTTAGTTCCTTCTGAGACATTATGGTTTTGACCTTCATGATAGGAAGTTTTATTAATCTAATAAGAGCTGCTTCTTCATCAGGGAAATTATCAGGGCTTTGATTTTTCAACTTTAATTATTATAAAATCCATTTTTGGTATATGATTGGCAAGTTTGTAAGAGCATTTATAACAGGCATAATAAATACTCTACAGTAGGAAAGCTAAAGAAATAAATACTATGAATGCCAAATAACTTTAGCTATAAAAAGATCACATGTGAGTGTGCATACTACCTCTGCTTTATCCTTCTAGGACTGAATTCATGAATTACAAAATCTATTATATTTTTACAAATACAGGACTAGCTCAGACATTAGCTAATGTTTGCTGTGGGGTTGGAACTTTGAGAGAACAACAATAACAAAAAAGATCTTCTGGGATAAAATAATCTATTTTATCTATTTTTAAGGCTACTCGAGGAAGGGAGATAATTTTGTCAACAGTTTAGAGTTAACCACTTATATTTATAAATTGGAAAGTTATTTTAAATTTCTTATTACCTTTGTAAGATATGCTTTTGTTAGCATTATAAGACTATTCTAAATAGTTTCAAAAAATGGGAAATAGGATTATATTGTTAATGTTTTAGTTTTAAAATGAAAATGAAGGATAATATATAATAAATAGTAGAAAATTAGCAAAATGCATTTTTCAAAGTATACTTATTTGATGGCATATTCTTTGTTATGATTTTTGAGAGAAATTCTATGAGTAGAAAATTAATTAGAAAAGATGTACTCTAAATAAGTTTCAAAGCTCATGTGACATATCCAACCACTCAAAGTATGAATCACCTTGGGCATTTTATTAGTTAATTAAATTTTTTTTATCGATCTGATTCTTATAGTTATCTGTTTGTCATCCTATTTCTGTATCTAAAGACAGCTCTGATCTAGAAGGAAAATTGAATTCCAGCATTTCAGGAATATAAATTCAAAAATTTCCTGTTATCATATGGTTACCTAGAAGCAATTTGCATTTAATCAATAGTGTCAGCATGACAGACTGAAAGTGCTAAAAAATGTACAATACTGTATAAGTGGTTTTCTGATGCCTCATGAGTCACCTTTATCAATTTGAACTCTCATTTTCTAAAATAACAATATCATTCCTAATTGCCTACTAAACCAGGACATGAAATGATTTGCCTAGACATTTCCTTCAGGCTAAATATAATGTATATGTATTAAAAATCCTTGAGAGAAATATGTAGTAATGATGATGGATATTCAGTTTAGGTGTACATTAATTTTTTTACTTCTTCACCTGTCAGCTTATATAGGTTATTTTGAACTCATGGGAGGCCTGTCTCATGAACTTGAGTGGTATTAATTCATTTTTAGGCATCCATTAAAAATGGCTAAATATTACCAACACATTTTAAACTTGATTCCTTTATTTATTCCTTTCATCTGCTTTTAGCCAATTAGAATATCCTAGACCATTATCAGTTCAGTTTCATATATTTTCAAAAATGAAACTTTTAAATCCAAGCATAATTTCTCCTTCTCTATTGACCATGTGTTTTATCCATATAATTAACATAATGTACTTACTTAAAAGCTGAGTTCTAACAGACCTTTCTATTTAAAGCATGGTCTCTGGATAACCAATATTGGCATTATCTGGGAGCATATCAGAAATGCAGAGTCTCAGACCTAGGTGAGGCAGAATCTGCATTTGAAAAATTTCCACAGTATATATATATATATATTTTTTTTTTTTTTTTGAGACAGAGTCTCGCTTGTTGCCCAGGCTATAGTGAGTGCCGTGGCGTCAGCCTAGCTCACAGCAACCTCAAACTCCTGGGCTCAAGCAATCCTTCTGCCTCAGCCTCCCGAGTAGCTGGGACTACAGGCATATGCCACCATGCCCGGCTAATTTTTTCTATATATATTAGTTGGCCAATTAATTTCTTTCTATTTATAGTAGAGATGGGGTCTTGCTCTTGCTCAGGCTGGTTTCGAACTCCTGACCTTGAGCAATCCGCCCGCCTCAGCCTCCCAGAGTGCTAGGATTACAGGCGTGAGCCACCGCGCCCGGCCTCCACAGATATTTTCTATGTACATAATGGTTTGAGAATTAGTATTTTAGGATGCAGTCTGGGACTTTACCTAGATGTTCCCTCTCACATTTTTTTAATGTCACCAAGTTTCAGAATTTTTAGCTGAATTAACAGATTCTAGGTACTCAAATCTTGAAGTGAACACGTGGGAATATAAACTAGTAATAAAACAGCAAAGTAGCCTCCACTGACCAAAAGCTGATATGCTAGGCATCTGAGCATCTGGAGCATATACAAGGTGTTCTCTCTCTCTCTCTCTCTCTCTCTCATCTCTTCTCAGACTATTACAGGGTACAAACACTTTGGTTATATATTGCCTTTTCACCACCCCAATCAGAGCTACAAGTGTGCCCATCCCCCAGACAGCACACAGCTGTGAATTGACCCATCATCTTCTCCCCCCTCTCACCTGCCCAACACCCTATGAATGTTACTTCACATATGTGTACATTAGTGTTGATCAATTAGTACCAATTTAATGGTGAGTACATGTGCTTGTTTTTCCATTCTTGTGATACTTCCCCTTAGAAGCATGGGCTCCAGTTCCATCCGGGATAATACAACAGGTAGTTCACCATTGTTTTTTTATGGCTGAGTAATACTCCAAACCTATTAATGGTCAATGGGCTTTTGGGCTCTTTCTGAGATCCATGCTTACACCCATACTAAATCAACTTTTTACTAAGTTCTATAGGAAATCTTCAGGCTATTATTTCTTCCTTTTCTCCTATCTCTAATATCCATTTAGCACCCAAAGTATAGGAACCTCTATGAATCTATCCTTTCTTATATCTTTTTCTCTGTGCTCTTCTGCACTCTTTTTTCTCTGCCTCACTTCCTCTGCTTTGTGCCTCCCCACACTGTCTCACTGTGCACTGTGAAATCTTTCTTTCAAGACAAGTCTTCTGTCCTATATAAGCATTCTATTCATACATGGAAAGCACTTTTATGCTTAAGATCACCACGATGACTAATACCTCTTTTGCACCCCACTCTTTTAAAATTGCTAGTTTCCTTCACAGGGACAATTCCAAAGATATTCCTCTTTCTTTATATTAAAAAAAAAATCTATTTCCTTTGGTTCATGCCTGTGGTGGCCAGCTATCATTCACCATTTTATTATATTATTTTCTCATTGAAGACTTTGGCTCTAGGTTTACAGTCTTTTCCACACAAGTTGTATTTTCATTCTTAGTAATCTTAGCACCCACATGGGCTCTCCTGCTATTGTCAAAATTTCCATTTCCCTCATCTCCTCAATTCAGCCACCCACTGACATGCTTGTGCTGTAGATGTTGTCATGGGCTGGCATTACTCCATTTCTTAAATAACACATTTTAACAGAATCATCAGTAGTTCTTCATAAGCTTTCCATGTATCCTTAGTAAATTTTCTGCTCAATTTCTCTCAACAATTAATTTAAGATTTTGTGGATCTCCTAAACCTTTCCCTACCATTCACAGTAGATGACTTTGCCTCCCACTTTCATTAAAATTATATTTTGTAAATTCTGTGTATTTGTGCTGATGGTCTCTTTCTTTCTATTTGCCTTCATAAAAGAGTCTGTGCTTTAACTAGTTGAGGATAATCTTTCTCTGTGTTTTCTCGGTAGCATCACTGTCTATGCACTAAGGAATTAATTCCATTCACCTACACATCCATATCTTCAATCTCTTTTTATTTTCTGCATCTTTATCATTAGCCTTTTAGCTGGCTGCTGTTTTTTCATTTTTGAAAAAAAATTCCTCTCCTATAAACACGCATTTGAATATTTACAGGCCTTATCTTACTTGACCTCTCTATAGAGCTAGACTCTGTTAACCACCTTATCCTTCATGAAATTCTTTCTTTGCTCCCCTGGCTGATGAAATACTACTAAATACTGATTATCTCTTTTACACTTTTGATGATTTGGTCCAACTCGGTTTTCCTTTAATGTTGATACTCTCCACATTCCTTCCCGTTTTTCTTCCCTAGTTGTCCTCATTCATTCCCATTCAAATACCATGTACTTTCTAATGACATTTCCAAATATGCATCTTTAGCTCATATTTTTCCTTAAAGCCCTGGCCAATATATCTAATTGCCTAATGGACAACTTTAATTGAACATTTTTCTGAAAACTTAAAATAAACCTCATTATCTCCACAGACCTCCTTTATTATTTCTCTTTCCTTTCTCTCATCAAGCAGCCTAATCCAAAAACCTTAACGCTAACTAGGTCATCTAGATTTTTTTCTACCGTTCATAAGTCCACCCTTTGACAAGTTCAATTAATCCTGCTCCCTTAACAGCTCTTGAAACTGTCCAAT